TCTACTTCTCAACTTTATGGTTGTCGTCTATGTACGTCCAGGGTTCTCAAACTTCAGAGAAGAAAAGAATCACCCAGAGACACTACCTGAAAATGTAGACTCTTAAGTCCCAACCCCAGATATTTTGACTCAGTAACTCTGGACTGAGACCCAGGAGTCCATTTTAAATACCTCCTCCTGGTGATTCCAGTGCCATCCACAGAATACATGTTGACCAAACAGTGATCTCTGGCATAAAGGTCATAGTCCTCGGCCTGGCTTTCAGGCCCTGTGAAGTTCGATTCCAGCTTGCTTAGTGACTAGTACCCCTCCCTCACCCTCACCACTACCAGGCCTCCAGACCTACAGACCAACCCAGTGGGTAAGACTAAACCAGTTGGCGAGCACGCTTCGGAAAGGCAGAATTAATCTCTCCTGTCCCTTTCCCCCCCTGCCCTTAGCACTTCAACGTTAGCACAGTGTTGTTCAAACTATAGGTTGCCACCCAATAGTAGGTTTTGACCAGGTTCTTATTTAAATTTATGATTCCTAGAATAGAATATATGGAAACTATCAGTGTGCGTTGCTGTAGTTAAGGGGATTGTAATACGTTTGTTTCAGTTAATTACCTGTATACATAGATGCGTATTGTGTCGGGACATGAACTGCGTTTCTCACTGTGGCTTGTACTCCAGCAACACTGAAAGCCACGGCTGTAGAACTCACTTCTCATTAGATCCATCAGTATGGCTTTCTGTTTCTCCATTATTATGAGCCTTTGGGGAATAATGAATAAAGCCACCTTTATCCTCTTATTTTTCCAGGATCCATCATGGCATTTTGTACTCAACAACTGAACTGATTTGATTACATCATCAAAATCATGCCTCTTCTGGGTTTAACTACTTCAGATCAAGTATCCTCTTCTAGGGTATAGGGTTAGGGTTATTCCTTTCATAAATTGCCTCTTCTGGAGGAGTGCTTGGGTGGCTCAGTCGGTGAGGCATCTGCCTTTGACTCAGGTCATGATCTCCAGTACCCGGGATCGAGCCCCATGTCAGGCTCCCTGCTCAAGGGGAGCCTGCTTCTCTCTCTCCCTCTGCCCCTCTCTTACCCCCTCTCGTGCTCTCTCTTTCAAATAAATAAATACAATCTTAAGAAAAAATTTTTTGCCTCTTTGTGAGACAGTGAATCTTGGAGCATTGCTGATGAAGTTCTAGAACCTAGTTGAGGTTTGGTGGGCTGAGGTCCGGAGCCGATGACCAAGAAAGAATTCTTGAGACATCTTTGGTGCAAAATGGTGGTTTATTAAAGCATGGGGACAGGACCCATGGGCAGGAAAAGCTGCTGCCCCGGGTTGTGAGGGGTGGCAGGTTCTGTACCTTGCGGTTGGGGGAAGGTGAGGGGAAGGGAGGTTTCAACGGAGCTTTCATATGCTAAAGAGGACCTACAAGGTGCCAGGATACCAGAGGCCTTGCGGCTTGATCAATGTTGTCTTTTGGCAAGCCATTCACATTTCTGCTATCAAGCGTCTTTGTTAGTGAGATTTGGGTTTAGAAGAAATTTAACTTTATTTAGGGCTTGAGGAACTGAGTTATTTGCCTCTGGAAATTTGTGCTATTGATAAGGTAACTTCTTTGTAGATTTCTAGGACATTTGTAAACCAAGGGAGACTCTGTCTTGCAGGATTGCGATCTCTGCAAGTTAACTGTTTCTCGTTTATGGCAGTCAGGGGTGCCTGAGGAATGTCACACACATTACCGAGGGGAGCCGGTGGAGAGGGGGTGCAAGGTGCCAGCTTTTGCTTTGTCTTCAGCCAGCCTCCTGCTCCCTCATCAGTTGCCAGAAGAAGTGGCCCTTCACATTGGCCAGAAGCAAAGGGTAACGTTTGTAAGGTGATGAGGTTCTTTGGGGCAATGTATTTCCTATGGAGATTCTGGAGTGTGGTCCGAGGAATGGAGTGGGTGGCTCTCTGACTTATGATGGCCCAGTGAAAGGACGCTCTAGAAGGACAAGAGCAGAGGATATAGCTACGTGAGTCTTCTAGGCGAGCGTGGTTAAGCATCCACTGGTCAATTAACGAGTCACTATGCAGGCTCTTAAGAACCCAAGAAGTGTTCAGATCGGTGACGACTGGACCACATGTGGATCACAGCTTTGTTTTCTTAAGGCAGCGGTGTCTCAGACGGCAGTGTGTCCAGTCAAGGTTGTTTGAATGCCAATCATCTCATACAGAGCTTGCTTCTCACATGTATGTTAACTGCGCATCTCTGTTAGCTGTAAGTTGGGGACCTCCTACAGCAAAATCTCTGGCTTTGAAGAACTCAGTGCAGAAGAGGAGTGAAGGCATACACTTTCAGAAACAATTTCCCGGCCAGGCCCCTTGAACTTGATGCACAGGGGCCTAGTAGAGCTCTAAGTGCAGTCAAGGGGGTGCTGGACAGAGCAGGCAGGCTGGACCGAGGTAGAGGTGAGGTAGAGTGGAGCTTCCAGTGAAAAGCTTGGGTGTGCAGAGTAAGGAGAGGCCACCTTTTTGGAGGATGGGGGAGGAAGGAAGCTCTGACTTATTACAGCAGGGACTCGGTGACAGCTAAGGGCCAGATGTAAATGATCTCAATGAAGACTGGAGTGTGAAGGGCCAAGAGAAGAGAGGGCTTATCCCAATAAAAGGGTTTTTGTTTCGTTTTGTTTTAAAGATTTTATTTCTTTATTCAACACACAGAGAGAGATCACAAGCAGGCAGAGAGGCTGGCAGAGAGAGGGGGAAGCAGGCTCCCTGCCGAGCAGAAAGCCCGACTCGGAACTTGATCCCAGGACCCCGAGATCACGACCCGAGCCGAAGGCAGAGGCCCAACCCACTAAGCCACCCAGGCGCCCCTGTCTTGTTTTGTTTTGTTTTGTTTTAACAAGGTTTTCAATTTGTCCTTGGCCTCAAGATAAGACTTCGTGAAAACAAGTAAAGTAATATCACGCTTTAAAAAAGCAGAGGTTAGGGGCACCTGGGTGGTTCAGTCGTTAAGCGTCTGCCTTCAGCTCAGGTCATGATCCCAGGGTCCTAGGATCGAGCCCCGCATTGGACTCTCTGCTCAGCGGGGAGCCTGCTTCTCCCTCTCCCTGTGTTCCCTCTCTCCCTCTCTCTCTCTGTCAGATAAATAAATAAAATCTTTAAAAATAAATAAAAAAATAAAAAAGCAGAGGTGACACACCTTATTAGAATGGCTAACATCCAAAAAATCTGGTAATTCCCCATGCTAGCAAGGATGTGGAGCAGCAGGAACACTCATTTTTGTTGCTTGTGGGAATGCAAAATAGAACCATCACGTTGGAAGCCAATTCGGCCATTTCTTCCAAAATCAAATGTCCTCTCACGGTCTGACCCAGCCACTACACTCCTAGATGTTTACACAACCGAGTCGCAAACTAGGTCCACGCAAAAACCTGCACGTGAATGCTGTATCAGTTTGATCCATCATCAGTGAAAACTGGAAGCAACGAAGACGCCCTTCAGTTGGTGAATGGATAAACAGTGCAAATGGATAAAGAAATTGTGACACATCCAGACAATGGATTATTATTTAGCAATTTACAAATTGAGTTATCAAGCCACAAAACTGCATGGAGGAACCTTAAATGCATATCGTTAAGTGAAAGAAGCCAGTCTGAAGAAGCTACCTAGTGTATGAGCCCAACTCACTCCGTGTTTTGGAAAGGGCAAAATCAGAGAAATGGTAGAAAGATCCGTGGTTACGGGCAGCTGTGCACCCAGGGAGAGGGATGAACGGCGGGATCACAGTGGATTCTGAGTGTAGGGAAACTGTTCGCAACATAACTGCAACAGTGCCTACATGTCATTATACATTCGTCGAAACCCACAGACTGTACAACACAGTGTCTCTTCATGGGGACTATGGCGTATAGTTAATCAACAATAATGTGTCAGTATGGACTCATCAAGTGTAACAAATGAACCGCACTAATGCAAGATATTAATAACAGGGAAAACGGTGTGGGGCGGGGGGAGATGGGAAGGTGGGGGCCGGATGTATAGAGCTCTGTGTGCCCTCTGCTCCATTGTTCTTTAAATCCAAAACCGTGCTCAAAAATAAAGTCTGTTAATTATTTTTTAAGAAATGGAGAGATTTCGCATTGAAAGAAAACAAAAGGCAAATGTGATGAGAATTATTTTTAAGTTTTAAGAGAGGAGCAAGGAAGTCCTGGGAACTTGCTTGTAAACTACACAGCCAGCCTTGCTCCCCAAGACCCCCTTCACGAACAGAATCCCTCGCCTGCGAAATAAATCCATACCACATCTCCTCCCTGGTACAAGCTCAGGCCCTGCTGGGTTTGACACTGAACCCCCTTCAAATGAGAACTAAAATTTTCCTCCCCTTCCTAGTTTTCTGAATTTTCTCGTGGAAAAGAAATCGGGCTTGTCTGGTAAGTTTGAAAAAGCAGCCTCACGAATTCCTTCCAAAGGAAAAAAGGCTTTTCTGTGACTGAACTTCTCTCAATCAACCATAATGATGGCTTTCCTGTTAATTCTCCCTAATTACGTGGAAGGCCTTTAAACTTGTTTTGGCGGTTCTCTTCTGAGATGAGGCAATCAGCCCACCTTTGATATTATAAGAAGGTGGCAGCGGCTGCTTCTCCTTCTTCCTCTTCCTTTTAAGTCACTCCTCCATTTTAGAATTTCTGCAAGTGATCATAGGTGTAAAATTCCAGTCTGTCCCTCAAACGGCTTCTAGTGAGGTGCTTGTTGTAAATCCCTCTAAGCTGCAGAGGACCTTTTAAACTGGATTAATCCCCTTGGTTCTAAATCCTTTTGCTTTGGGGGCCAGAATCTCATCCCATAACCTTTTGAATCACCAAGGTAACTTCAAAAGTTGGCACTTTCCATGTAAATGGCGAGAGAGCTGTAAGGCCATAAACCTTGCAGAGCAGAACGTATTGATTTCAATGATCACCTTTAATCCACACCTTTCCGAATCTTTATAACGTGTGGTTTTTCTTCTCTTAATTAGAAAGAGCCAGGGATTATCTGCACAAAACTGGAAGGTTTATTGTGATTGGTGGGATTGTCTCTCCTGTCCACGACTCCTACGGAAAACAGGTGGGTTGGTCCTTTGCCTCTCTGCTCCTTACCCCTCCCTTTCTGACCCGATGGATGGCTTCTAGGGCACACAGCTGCCCCAAGGCCGTCTCGGCTACACTTCCTGGAAACACACATGCCGGGTAGCGGGCGTCCTGCTCCGGGCTCTGGACCACTGTCAGCCCCGAGCAGTTGGGTGCCGGGCGGCAGCGGGGAGGAACAGCTGAGCCCGCAGCGCTCATTAGCCCCGGAGCGCGCACACCCGCGGACGGCCGAGCGGGGCAGGGCGCGGATGCCACACCCGCGGCGGGCTACGGATCTTTCCCGGATTTTAGGAGGAAAAGGCCCATGCCTCTTACGATCTGATTTAAAATTCCTTTCCTTGCGGCTCCCTCCCTGCCACACGAAAGGGAAGGGCTAGGAGCCCTCCCCGCATGTCCATCTCCCCTCCGTCCCCACCTGCCTCCGAAGAAGTCGCCCACCCAGCAGCCAGAGCCTCTAGACGAAGCCCCGTTTGCAGGGTTAAGTCTTGTCTCTGTGCTGGGCAAGGGTTGGCTGCTTCCTCCGAGAGAGGCCCACCTCCTGACCCTGTCGTGAGTGGCCCATCCCACCTCCGTCCCTTTCTTTCCCCTCTGCGCTCTGGGCGTCAGCGTGACAGGTGCACATGCGGGGTGGTGGGGGGCACACCCTCCTCCCGGCGTGGCTGAGGAACGGCTGCCCTTGAATGAGAAGCCCGCTTGGGGTGGGGTCCCCGGAGGCTTCGGGGAGCCTCCCACTGATGGCTCTGTTGCTCCCCAGGGCCTCGTGTCGAGCCGGCACCGCCTCATCATGTGTCAGCTGGCCGTGCAGAACTCCGACTGGATCAGGTAGGGCTGGCCTGGCCCTTGCCCCTGGGGGAAGGGGGGTGGCCTGGGATTCACTGGGGCTGAGGGGAGGAAGAGGAGAGGTCCCCTCAGCCATCCGGATCCCACAGGGGTGGGGAGGTCAGAAGAGGCATTAGTCCCCTGCAGGCTATAATTACGCAAACCTTCGGAGGTGACCCCGCTTTGTTTTATAACCAGGCGGTAGGGCCCAGCAGACCCAAGAGAGAAGCCGAAGTGTTTCTCTGCTCTGGGACATTTGGATCCAGGAGTATTCCTGGACATCATTGGATTTGGGGTGAGGCCTGGCCAGGAAATCCGAAATGCCTCTCCACTTTTCTCCCCAGTTACTTCCTGTGAACTCAAACTTCCTTTTAGGAACCATTCCCTGGGCTTCTTTATTTCCCATTCCTGAACTCGGGCTTCCTGGGGCTCCCGGCTGAGCGTGGGACCGGGGGGCTGCCAGTAAGCGGGCACTGCCCGTCCCTCAGACTCTGGGCACCGGCCTCCCTAAGATGGCAGACACCGTTATGTGCAGCGCTGGCGGTGTAATTAAAGCAAGCTTCCACTAATTATGCTAATTACGCTCCCCCAAGTTCCCACAGTTATAATTTGCATGATAAAATGGCGTTTTAAAAAAATAATGGCACACCATTTGTACTGTAATTTCCCCCCGTGGAAAAATAAGCAGCACCTAGAGGTTTCTAGAAGGGAGGGACGAGAAGGGAAGCTCACCTCACAATGAGGGAGAGGAGATGGGGTGGGTGGGAAGGAGAGCGGTGAAGGGAAGCCACCACGGTAATCACATAGTGATCTTTGTGGGTCGTGAGCAGTGATTTGTGTGAGAAACACTTGTCCCTTAGAGACTTTCTCAAACCCCTGAGATACAGGGAGACACAGCTGCCTTTTCTCTGGTGAGAAACGGGCCCAGAGAAATCAAGGGGCTTGAGCGTGAACAGCCTGTCCACGGTCACGTCAGGGATAGAAACAAGGCCTTGTAACACTGTGGCTTAGGATCTCCTGGGGAAAATGGGGACCAGTGGGGGGAAGACACAGGGCAGGAGGTTGTTCCTGCTTGGATGTGACTGGAAGATTCTGAAAGAATTGCTTCATTCATTCAACAAATATTTCCCCAGCACCTCCTGCTGGCTCTGCACTGCTCCAAGCACTTGGGCAAGGTCAGAATTCCAAGAATTGAGGTCACTAGGGAAGCTCTGGTAGCTCTAGAGGTAGGGGCAGGGCCTCCGGCCCTGGGGGAGCCTGTTGCAGGCGGGTGGGTGGTGGTCAGAGGTGGGGAGAGGGCCTGCCGCACAAGCCGACGCTCAAGGTTTTCAGTCCGGGAGCTCTTACCTCTGGGAAGCTTCGGTGTGTGTGCCTGGTGGGAGGTGGGCAGGGAATGCTCGACTGCTAAGAAAATGTTTGAGAAATCTCCCAGTTTAGCAGCTCATTAAGTTGCCAATTAAGCCTGAGCTGGCATTGGTCTGGGCCAGCTCCCTGCTCGGTTCACATCCCGCTGCACAGGAGGGGCTGGCCAGCGGGCGGGGCTGTGCCCTTCAGTCTGACTGGCATGCCCCCCCCATGCCCACAAGGCCCCCCCGCAGCACAGGGAGGCAGACAGGGGCAGTCCCCCAATTCAGGTATCTGCAGCCACCACTTGATGAGGGCCTGGCTTTGAATCCTTACCCCAATCCTCGAGGGCCCAGAGGAAAATTTCCACCGTGCAGGGAAGCATCAGAGCGAGGCTCTGTACTAACCACTTTGTTTATAAAACTCATCAAGCCCTTCTAATAACCCCACAAAAGAGTCACATCGTCATTTTTACAGGTGGGAAAAGTGAGCACCGGAAGAAAACATCACTTTCCCAAAGCCCTATACTCCTCCCGTTTTACAGAGGAGGAAACTGAGGTGTAGGAAGGTGTTTCAAGCCCACGTTTGATCTGATTTGGGATCTAAGTATGCGGCAGGGGCCAGTCTGCTGAGCTCCCTGAGCTACAGGCTCTGGAAACAACCAGTGAGGAATGAGTGTGAGAATGGAAACCGTGGGAAGCCTCTTTCTGGTTCTATTAGGGTGGACCCGTGGGAGTGCTATCAGGACACCTGGCAGACCACGTGCAGCGTGCTGGAGCACCATCGGGACCTCATGAAGGTGAGCTGGGCCACGGCAGGGGGGTGGGTGGCCCCCAAAACCAGGCAGGCCCGGTAAGAGTGCTGCTGGCCTACAGACCTGGTTCTGTTTCCGGCTTCTCGGCCAGCGATGGGAGACCAGGCCCTGAGCAGCAGGAAGGAGAGCAGCCAGTTAAGGAGTCGGACCAGAGGCTGCCCCCCATCTTGCCCCCCTGCTCAATCTGACTGGGGCTGGTTTTCAACTTCTGACAACAAATCCAGGGTGGGAGTGAGGACAGACTTCAGAAAGTGGGGACGGAAGGAGACCTGGCCCGGGAAGGCGGGAGCACAGAGGAGCATGGGGGGAGAGTGGGGGGACAAGCATCCGGGGGCTCCATCCCCATCTATATTGGATTTGCCAGTCCCCTCACTCCAGCACTGGGTGCTGTGGCCGAGACCCCCTCACCCCTGCCAGACGCTGTCCCTTTGTTCACTCTCATTGGTCCTCTCATGAGACAGGCAATGTTCTGGTCTTTTTTATATGAGTGGACAAAAGGAAGCCCAGATGGGTACCTGGGTGGCTCAGTGGGTTAAAGCCTCTGCCTTTGGCTTAGGTCATGATCCCAGGGTCCTGGGATTGAGCCCCATATTGGGCTCTCTGCTTAGCAGGAAGCCTGCCTCCCCGCCCCTCTCTCTCTGCCTACTTGTGATCTCTATCTGTCAAATAAATAAAATCTTTAAAAAAAAAAAGAAAGGAAGCCCAGAGAGGTAAGCCAATCTACCTGAGGACACACAGCCATTGTTTTGTGTCTCCCCTGGATGGGAGCCTGTGGCTTGTGCCCAGGTTGCAGCCACTGAAGAGCTGGTGACCGGGTTATAACAAGAGCCACGCCAGCCAGCCCCGCTGGCCAGAGTGCGAGGAAAGCACCCTTCCCAGACCAACAGCAGCCCATCGGTCTCTGCAGCGATGGCAGGAAGAGCAGAGCCATCCGTAGCGAGAAGCCTGACTGCCCAAGACAAGAGTCAGCGCCCCGACCCTGTCACAGTGCCCCTGTCAGCCGCAAACGGCAGTCTGGACGGCACTGTTCCGACACAAGGAGCGTGTCCGCCCATCTGTGTTTTGCGTCAGTGGGTGTCAGAAGCCGCTCCTTGGGGGAGCCGTGGGCATCACACTCCGCCAACTGGGCCAGCTGTGCTTACCTTTAACAGAGGTGGAGCTCTGGGCTCCTGACCCGCCAGGAAGTCAAGAAGAAGAGGAAGAGGAAGAGGGCGGGCTCTAGAGAGCTGTTGCCTCATCTACTAGGTTTGTCCCCCTTGGAACTGACACAGCGCACCTCCCTTCCTTCCCTCTTCGGAATCCTTTACAGGCATCCGGAGTCTTTTCTGATCCCCTTGAAGGGACTCTGCCATTGGGGGGCACTCACCAGCTCCCCGTGCTAGTCTCAACCACCGCAGTAATAACAGGCATCCCATCCTGTCCTACTGTATCAGTCAGGAGAGGCTAAGATACGCTGTGTTAACAAACATCCTTAAAATCTTGGGGACTTCACGTCAGTTTATGCCTCACACTACACATCAGCTAGGGGTCAGCGGGGGCCTGTGTGCCTTCTGATCACACGGGAGCCTCGGGCTCTGTGATGGAAAGGAGGAATCCGGGACCCTGCAGACATGCTGGAGCCTTGCCTGTACCAGCCATGAAGTCTGCCCACTGTTTTGCTTCCAAATGCCTGGGCTTCCCAAACCCTCCTTCCGTTACTCATGCCCGGAGGTGGGAGTCTGGGCCAGAGCGGCACAGCCAGGAGCTCAGCCCTTCCAGTGACAGGCACAGGCCAGTAGAGAATGTGAGTCCCCAGGACCCCTGCCTAGAATGGCGGTGGGGGACACCCCATCTCTCCTGTTCTACCATCAGGCCGGTGTTCCTGGTGTGGACGGCAGACCTGTTGGAGAGACTGACGCAGGGCTTACTTAGAGGTGACCCGAGCCCCTGCTTGGAAGGGTCTCTGCGAACATGAGAGCCCGCAGAGGGGTGACGAGGGCAGAGTGGGGCACACAGCCAGCCCTTTTCTTCTCTACCTAGAACAAGTCCCCTGGGACCAGCCGTGCAGGCAGCAGGAGGAAGCATTTCCTCAGCTACCAGACCAGTTACTAAACGAAAATGTGGCACTTCCTTTTCCGGAGGTGAAATAATGAAAAAGGAGGCAGGCCGGCCCTTCCCCTCCAGCAGCCACAAGCAAGCGGGGAAGAGCCTGTTGGGCTGGCCTCGGTGGGCTCCCAGATGGGGCTGGATGCTGCTGGGACTGCCCTGTGTCAAGAACATGACAGAGGGGACAGGTCACCCCGCAGAACAAACGCCTGTCCTCTGGGGCTCAGAAGGCATCAGCGCCGCTCTCTGCCCTCTGTATGAAAGACGGACCTTTCAGGGGTCACGAGGGCCACAGCAGCCCTGCAACTTGGGGTTCTCTGGCAGGGGACTCAGGAATCCAGAAAGAGGGGTTCATGGGGGTGAGATACTATCTGGAAAGGGACCTGCAGAAGCACCGGCCGTTGGAAAGCTGAACGGATAGAAAAACCCATTCTTTGTTTCTCTTGCCCAGTAGGGAGCTCTTGCACCCACAGCAGGGAAGGGGGTGGGTGTCTGGGTCAGCTGGGCAGGACGTGGCCTTATCAGCTCCATGAGTTCTGCGGCCCCGAGGGAAGCAGCAGGCCAGATAATCCAGCACAATAGAATATACACATAGAATATCCGTTTGGCTCTGGAATGTGCATCCACACTGACAAGTAGGCAAAAGAGTGCCCAGCACCCCGCCTCTTCCTGCCACACAAACACATCCCGCCCGCCTGGCCCCACTCTCAGCTTTGGCCTTGTCATTGGCGTCCCTGGCCTGGAGAGGCGACAGGTGGTGATAGTGCCTGGTGTTCGTATGACCTTTCCAAAGCGTACACAGCTCTTCAGCAGACACGACCTCGTGTGAGGCCCGTGAGGCGGGCAGGGAGGGCAGGAATGCACGTCACACGGAAGGTTACAACATCGGCGGCCAGGTGCCAGACCACAACCCAGAAAGGCAGCCACCGGGCCTGTCCGTGTTAATCTCCTGAGCTGAGGTTCAAGAGACTAACTATCCAAGGTCACGCAGCCAGAGTGGGGCAGAGCTCAGACTTGAACCAGGGCAACACCACATGCCATGCCTTCCCAGCACTGAGCTAGCGGTCTGGCCTCCTGCTGGCCTCATGCAGCCACGCCACACAGCTGGGTCTAGAACCCGCCCCTGCCACCAGCTCAGCTCCCAGTGGCCTCCCCGGGATGGACGAACAGATGAGCGGTTGAAGATAACTAGGAATGCTCTTCATAAGTTACTTGGCTAATGCCACTGACCTTGCACTTCTCCCTTCCCCCAGCGGGTGACTGGCTGTATCCTCTCCAACGTTAACACACCTTCCATGACGCCAGTGATCGGACAGCCCCAAAATGAGACCCCCCAGCCCATTTACCAGAACAGCAACGTGTCCAGCAAACCCACTGCAGGTAGGGGGACCCTGGTGGGAGCTGCGGCTCTCAGACCTCAGAATCACCCGGAGGGTGGTTAGAATCCAGACTGCTGGGCCTTCCCCCAGAATGTGACTTAGTAGGTCTGGGAGGGGGAGGAAAATTTGCACTTTTAACAAGGTGACACTGATGCTCTAGTCCTTAAAATAGAGCATCAGAGAGAAGCAGTCACAATGAGAGAGAGACAGGGTTGATGGTGTGCATTTTTTTATATTTATAATTATAAGTCATATTTACAAATTCTATTTATAATTGCCTTCCTGGGAATTAAAAATATGGAAGGCAGCATTTTCCCTGCCTCTTCCAAGGGAGTTGACGATTTTGCCCAAGGTCACACAGTGAGGAGGTAGCAGGACTAGGAGTCAAACCCAGGCATCAGCAATCGAAATACCAAACTCTCAGCCGCCTCTTCAGTGGCAGAAAGCAAGGCTCCAACATTTACCCAACACCGAGTCCTGTATGCCCATAAAATGCCCAGTGCTTTACATGGATTCACATTTTATGCCGTAATTCTGTGATATAGATATTATGTTCCCATTTACAAGGAGAAAACTGAAATTCAGAGAGGGTAAGTGATTAGCCTAAGGTCACACAGCTCAAAAGTGGAAGAGTCAGAGGTCATGTTCAGGACCATTCGATTCCAGGGTCCATGTTTTTTCCAACATTTTTTTACCAACCCATTGCAAGAGGCGGATCCTGTTCATACTCTTCAAGCCTAGAGACCATAAACTATTAGATTATTAGTCTGTTCGAAACAGGGGAGTTCACAAGGAGCCAGAATTTCATAGCTCTCATACAGCTACATGTGGCGGCTCAGAAAGATTTTCTGGATTAGAGCCCAGAGAGGACATCAAAAACCAGATCCCTCTCAGCCAAAGTAGGATGTCTGATTATGATAAAATCCATCTTCATGGGAAGGAATGAAGGGTAAGGCTCATATTTAAAAAATGAAAGGAGCAAATAGCCCATATGTCATTTAAACACATAATATGACCCAACTTCTGGTGTGCAAACATACCTGCGTAATGCATATTTTTTTAAGTGGAGGAAAAGAAATAGTATACCCATGTGTTACTAGAGGAAAAGAAATAGTATACCCATGTGTTAGTGGTGGTTGTCTCCTGGGATGGGATTACGGGTGCTTTTTATTTTCCTTTTTATATATTTTCCTCTTCTACATTTTCCGGTTTTTGACAGTGTAATAAACACAAGCAGAAAACAGATTCCAGTCTGTGGCTCACAATGCTTGCGCCTTGGACTGTGAACAGGAAGGAATGTTTGCTGTCACATTTCTGTTCTTTCTCTCTACCCTCCTGCCTCCCACTACCCAACCCCTGCCCCCTCCAGGGCAACCCTATTGTTTAAGTGGCCCACATGCCCGGCTGTAAGTGGTGAGCGGTTCTCTTCCTCTGTCCCTGTCTGTCTTGCTCTCTCTTATAGCCAAGATCTTGGGGAAGGTGGGAGAAAGTCTAAGCCGGATCTGCTGTGTCCGCCCACCAGTGGAGCGCTTCACCTTTGTGGGTAAGGGAGCAAAGGCTTCTTTGCTGGTCCTGTCTCTTCTTTGTCCCTTCCCTTCATTCATTCTGCAAACACCTCCCAGCACCTGCTGTGGGATGACAGTTGAAAGAGCAACAGTGGAGAGAAAACAAAGTAAACAGGAAAGTACCCCGGCTTGTAGGGCAAGAGTCCCGAGGGTGTGACCCACCTAGCCTGTGGCTGCCTAGACCTTGTTGCTGTGCTGACTCCCCACCCCCACCCCTCCCACCCCGCCCCCACATGCAGAATGAGGTCACATGCCTAAGAGTTTTCAGGGGCCCAGAATCCTTCCTCTGGTCCTCCCAGCTCTGGCAGTGTATGCACCCCTCTGATAGGCTACCAACACCCATGCTCTTTCCTTAATTCCCTGTTTCTGGCTGTTCCCTCGAGGACTCAATGGATGAGAATGTCCGAGTCGCTGCGTCCCAGTTCAAATCTGCAGAATTGCTGAAGGTCTAGACCTCATTCCTTTGATGCTTTGGCTCTGACTTCTGCCACTTCTGAGATTTCCAGTTTTCCAAAAGGAACTAAGAGGGGTAGCAGAGGTGGAAAGGAGACAGGGGACCAAGGTGGCAGGTCTATGGTTTTGCGCACACCTTGAACCCTTGTGCCAGCACTGCTGAAGAGCACTCGAGAGCACAGGTCCCAGCCTCTGTCTCTCTCGTCGTTCACGGGCTCTTGCTGTACCTGCCATCCCAACGCGCTCAGCGATGCTAGTTCTCTGAACCAGGCCGCCCATGCCTGGGGCGACGGGGCTGCCTCCTGGTGATGCTGAGAGCAGTTTCTCTCTGTTTAGAGGACGCTGCTTTTGTGGACTACCTCCCACAAATACAGACAGAAACAGAAGGTGCTTAGCAGGAGCGTGTGTGTGTGTGTGTGTGTGTGTGTGTGTGTGTGTGTGTGTGTGATCGGCTTCCCAGCGAAGCTGTGCGATTCTTAAAGGCCCAGAAATGTGAATTCCCACTGTGCAGCACGAGGGGCTGCGTCCTCTGCATTGTAGGCCGGATTGCTCTCCATCACTACTCAGATGCCCTCTGTGCAGGGAGGCAATGACCCCCCTATCCTGTGCGTTCCACCCCACCCCACACACTCCTGAGGAGGCCCCTGGACCGACGGCGTGCACAGGTGGCAGTCAGTCCGTCTCCTCATGCTTCTCCGTTCCCTCTCTCCTCCCTAGATGAGAATGCCAATCTGGGCACGGTGATGCGGTACGAAGAGATCGGTAAGTGGCCGGAAAAGTGGGGACACTTGGGGGCAGAATTGGGCGGGGGGAGAGGCTTGGAGACCCTGGGTTGTGCTCGCAACCGGGCCTGCTCCCAGAACACCGGCTCCAGACTAGAGCAGATTCTCCGATATCTCCACCGAGCCAGTTCCCGGGAGGTAGGACCGGCCGGCTTGGCAGTGCTCGCGTTAGAGCCTCGTCTCCCTCATCCCCGACACGTGGAAGTTAAGCTTCTGCCACAGCCCAAGACCTTTCTTTGGCCGAAGACATTGTGTGAGGCCGAGAAGCTTCCCCGTCTTCCTTATCTTCTTCCTTATTTCTGGGCTGGAGGGCAAGGAGGAGAGGAAGCTGAAAGCCCCTCCACAACCTCCCTGCAGCCGGCAGCCGTGGGCAGAGGCTAAGGCATCCCGGGTCTGTGGGAGGAGGTGGATGGACGGTGGCTCCACCCGCCAGTCGTCGGAGGGGAAGGAGGTGACCCACCCTTGGAAATGAATTTAGTCCTATGGAACCCTGGGGAGCAAACCAGAAAACTGAGGTTCCAGAGTGGGTGAGAGACACTGAAGCTGAGGAAGGGATAGATGGCTGTCAGAATGGAGCTGGAGTCGGCGCAGTACCAGGTGACAAGGAGGGTCAGTGACAACTGGCATGCTTGGAACGCTAGCGTGAGGGGCAGCCTGGTGTCCGGTGGACACGCCCAGTCTGCCGTCCCAGCTGCGAAGGTGCCATCCCCAGGGCTGGGTGTGGGTGCTGTGGTCCTGGGAGCATAGGACTATGCCGGGAGCCCCAGGGCCTCTGCCAGGAGGCCCGGCACATGTGACATCGATTCAAGGAGCCTCCCTGGGTCCTGGCCTCTGATCTGAGGAGCAGTGGTGTACCTGAGTTGACTCCCACTGGTTTGTCAGAACCCATTCTAAGATTTTCAGGAAGTAAGCAAACTGGTTGTCAAATGTAGCCGATACTAAAAATTAAGTTGTTTTAAACAACAATTAATACACTGTATTAAGGACAAAGATCCTGAGTACTCAAAACTCGCTTCTGAGTTACTTTCCTGTATTTTAATGTCCTTTATTTCCCCGCCCTTCACTGTCTTGAAGCCACAAAAAGCAGCAGCGTGGCTTCCTGGTTGCTCCCCCAAAACAGGGCAGAAGTATTTGGGTCCAGGTTCCCCAGCTCCCAAGCGCCCCAAGGGGGAGGAGAAGCAAGCCTTGAACTCCCACTTCCTGCAGTTCCGCACCTGGCCAGGAATTGCATTCCCTGGGAGGTCCTCCGGAGCAGCCCCGCTCTGAGCAGTCTTTAGACTTGCAACTGTATTCAATGTGTGTTTCTCTCGTTCCTTGTTCCAGAAAGCATTTACTGTGGCGAGCTTCAGCAGTGACCTTGTTTACCTTCCTGGCTCACTGGGCCAGTGTGTGAGGCCATACCTGCGGGAGCTCCCTGCCCACAGAGAGGCCGAGCTAATGAGTGTTTGCACAATTTGCAGCAAGTTCCTTATCTCACCCTCAAGTTCCTTATCTCACCACCGCCTGGTGAGGGGCAGGGCTAGCCTGACCCCATCTTACTCTTCTTTCCAAGAAAGGAAAGCTGGGCGGCCGCAGCTATCATGATCGATTCAGGGCCTGGTGTGGTCCAGGTGGCGTGGCCTCAGAGGGCAGTGGGAACTGGAAATGGCCCCGGAGGTCCTGGATCCAGGTCCTGGACTTCACAGAGCCAGGCTTCCTGGGAGGGGAGTGTGGTGGGACAGTGTGGATTCTACCTCCTGGCCCTGGATCCTTGGAAGGTGGTGAACCGGGGTAGGAGGTAGAGCGCAGAGGAGGTGAAAGGAAGCTGCCTTGCTTCCCGACTGTGTGCTAGGAGGCCCTCTGGCTCATGAGTCCCCTTTTTGAAATCCCCTTGCACCTTTCAGGAAGGAAAAAGCCGTGTTCTAGCTCAGCTAGCACCTATGGCTCCACTTCCCTGTTCTTAAACCACTGACTGCTCTAGGGGGCTGCCATAGAGCAAAAGCTCTGGGAGCTGGAAATGCTTGCCCTAGTCTCCTGCAACAAACCAGGAGAGATCGCTGCTGCCCTCCAGCGGCCATGCGTGGGATCCCAGGCTCTGCTAGGGCCTCTGGGCTGTGACAAATGTGTCAGTTCTGGTCCTGTAAGAAAAGGTGGACACCCCACTTTTTAACTTTCTGCGCTTTGGCTTAAAAAAAAAACAACCCACTTTATTCAAGTGGGAAAGGGAGTTCCTGACTCAGGAATAGAAAAGAGTTATTTTCATGGCTATCGAGCAGGCTTTCTCAACTGTGGGCTATTGACATTTGGAAATAAACAATTCTGTGTCTTGGGGGCTGCCATGTGTCTTGTAGGATGTCCCCCAGCATTCCTGTCCTCCGAGCACCAGATGCCAGGAGCACGTGCCCTCTCCCTGGTCTTAGCACCCAGAGATGTCTCCAGGCACTGTCAAATTCAGGAGCCGTAGCTGCCCTCTGGGTTTGCCGACACAGAGAAATCCAAGGGCCAGCACAGCCTCTGGATGGTGGCACCTACCGAAATTTTAGGCAATCTGAGTTACAGTACAGAGTTACAGGCAATCTCTTTCCACAGAACGAGGACACTTGGAACCCTGGGTGGTTCCAGGTGGGAGGTGGGGAGCCGTAGGATCCCAGGAGGGAGCCCAGTGTGGCTCCTCTCAGCCATAGGGAGATTGGTTCCTTCCCGCACATGGGGAGTTGGGCCAGAAGTCCCATGGCATGACTTGGAAGGAGGGAGACACCACTTCCCCCAGGACCCCCAGACTGCAAACACAAAGGCCATGATGGCCCCAGCAGAGCCATCTCAGATGGCCTAGAAGGCTCTTAGACTGCTTGCCTGCATGGCCTCTGCAGGCACCTTGTCTGTTGTTCACGTACTCAGTATGTCCCGAGCACCTACTGTGCGCAGGTCATTCTGCTAGGCCCAGGGGCTAGAAAGATAAATTAAGGTCCCTGCCCCTGAGCAGATCTTTGGGCTACAGAATGGCATGGGGAGAGGAGATGCTGCAGGAATATTTAGGAGCAAAGGACCCAGGGCTCCACGGGGCTCCCTGAGGATGGGCCACGGGTGGGACAGATACTGACACTAACGTCAGCCCAGTTGCCTTCCTTTTCTGAACCATCTGGAGAGTTCCACAGCAAGGTTACAAGGTCACCGTCTGAATCCTGGTCAGGTTCCCCAAGCGAACTGTGGCATCTCAGGCAGGCCTACCTAACGGCTACCTCTCAGCCTCGGTGCAGGGTGGCAGTGGTCTCTGGAAGTGGTCTCGGGGCAGGGCCATCCCTCCCATTTTGGAAAAGATGCCCAAAGCCACAGCCACAGCCTCTCACTGGAGGGCCCAAGATGCCTGGGAACCAGATGCTCCACACCTGGCAGGTGTCCCTCCCCCTGTGGTTTGGAGAATCCCAGGATCCTTTTTTCCCCCCACTGCTCCGGTTTAGTAAGTCGGTCAGTCCTTTTTGAAGGGGCTTCTCTGGGATGATGCAGACTGGGCTTTGGGAGGGAAGGAAAACAAAGGACAAGCAGGACATGCACCTGGGAGGGGGGCGGGGTGAGCTCAACTCCGCTGCTCAGGCTCCTTGCTGAGGACAGTGGCCTGGTAAAGAAAGGACATCCAATGAACTCAGTGACTGCATGGGGACACTCTGTGTCCCCCCAGACCCTTCATCATGTCCGCATTTGTGATAAAGAACAAAGCCTGGATAATGCACGGCAGCAGAGGAGCCGAGCTCTGTTAGCACTTGACCTTGATATGGAGCAGGAGAGAGAGCCCTACAGACCTTAGACAAGCCACATGGCCGGCTCCATCTCTCTTGGGATGAGCAGCCCTCCCGGCTTAGCAGGGAATGACCTCTGTCCCAGGAAACCCTCAGTACCAGGCAAACCAAGACCTGCCCTGTCCTGCATGAGAAAGTCCTCCCACAGGGGGATAAGAGTGGTCTGTAGATGACCCAGCCAGGCAAAGTTGTCTACACTGCGCACACCACGGTGCAGGGAAGCCTGGCAGAGCTGGGTGCCAGAGGCCCCGGGAATGGGTGGCTTCTGTATTTATCAGGGGCGAGGCTGAGAGTTGAATGTTTTCCAGGTCTCCACTCACCCCTGTGCCAACTCTGTCCCCCTCCCCAGAGCTGCGGATCTTGCTGCTGTGTGGCAGTGACCTGCTGGAATCCTTCTGCATCCCGGGGCTCTGGAACGAGGCGGATGTGAGTAGCAAGGCTCCTACAGCACCGCACACAGGTGCCGTGGGAAGGATGGGGAGAGGGCACCTGGGTTTGGCCTCTGCTCTCCCCTCCCCCCACTGCCTCCCCTCCCCAACCCAAGGGGCCCATATCCTGTGAGCTCCCAAGAGGACAATCCATTCCCCGTGATTATGGAAGAAATTCTCACCGATCCCAAACTTTGGCTTTGACTGCAGTTTTATACTCACTCCCCCTTGGGCTTGCTCCTGGAAGGCCCCAGGGAAGAAAGCAATCTGAGTCAGAGGATACCTTCTCCGAGTAGTTCTTGGAATGATTGTGTGGGGCAGAGGCAGTGGGTAGGGGAGGGAGGGATTAAGAAAAAACCCAGCGGCCTTTTGAGATTGTGGTTTGTTTTCCTTTGATTCCTTTTGAAGAGGTAATAAATACCACCCTAGAATTCCCTCAACAAGAAAAAAGGGGTCAGGGGGGGAGGCATTCGTGGCAGAAGGTCAGTAGAATCCGTCCAGCAATTGACTGGGGATAGAAACAGGAAGTTAGACTTACACCACGTAGAAGCTGGGCGGACATCTTTTGTTGCCACATCTGGGGGGGGGTGGTCTTAAACCAGCTCATTCACAAGTTACTCACCCTTGGTCTGTAAGTTCATTCTTGCTCTTTCATTAATTCATTCATTGCATAGCCTGAGCCATTGCTAGTTCCCAATTCCATAGCTCCCCCACAAGATTTTTATTTATTTGAGCAAAAGAGTGAGCAAGAGAGAGGCAGAGAAAGAAGCAGACCCCCTGCTGAGCGGGGAGCCTGATGCGGGCTCTATCTCAGGCCCCTGGGATCATGACACCAGCCAAAGGCAGACGCTTAACCAACTGAGCCACCCAGGCCCCCCCACCCACCGCCCCAGTTCCACAGCCCTATGCAAGTTGGGTTCTCAAGGCAGTAATTCCAGACCTAGTACTTTTTTTTATTAACTTGCTGTGAGACCCCAAACAAATCATCAACGGTCTGGGCCTCAGTTTATTGAGATATAATTGATGTGTAACATGGTATTCGTTTAAGGTGTACATTGCAATAATTTGAGATCTGTATATATCGCAAAATATTATCACAAGTTTGTTAACATCACGTAGTACAACTTGGTTGTGCTTTTAAAAATCTATAGCATGTTATCTATCACATTCTGACATTTACAAAAATAGGCAATACAGTCTGTTCCCCCAAATATCAGGTGGCAAGACATGTACATAGGAAATTTTTTTAGGTACATGTATGTACGTTTCTGGAGAGAGAGAGAACCTTCAGGATCAGATTCCAGATTCCAGCTCTATTCGAACACAGCTCATGACAAAAGCTATTTTGAGCCTCAGTTTATCCCATCTCTAAAATGGGTGTAATAATAGTGCCTACCTCATAGGATTTGGGGGAAATTAAATGAGATGGTGTATATGAAGTGCCCAGTCTAGTACCCGACACACAGTTACATACAACAAACGTTCATAAGCGAATTTACCTAAACAGACTCATAGACATACACACAGATATTCTAGGTGAAGGGCGTGAGTGCTAACATGCTGTGGGAGGACCAGGAGGGGAGGGAGAGTTCCCGAGAGGTGAATTATGCTGTGTAGGCCTTTCACCTCCACCCCTGGACCATTTCTTGCAGGTGAAATTCTAAACCTCCTTTCAGTTCTGGATGAAAGGGTTTAATTAACCTTTACTTGCCTCTCTACTTCACACGGTGCTGTGAAAGTAAACAGTAAGAAGGCCAAAGTTGTGTACCAGATCTTGGCAGAGCTCTTTCAAGAATCTAGGCAAATCGGGGATGGGGGCAGCTGGAGGCGGGGAGGGGACACATCCCACTCACAGGCCCAGACAGTCCAGGAGGGATGAAGTCAGCCCCTGGGGCGGCCGCCTGGAGGACCACTCACAGGAGCAGGGAATCCCTAGAGCCCCCTCTCAGGGGCCCACCCAGGCTCTCTGGAGCCTGAAACTTAGAGCATTTGGGGCCCTGGAATCACGGCCAGTCCCTCTCTGTTCCTCCCGGTTAGATTGCCGACCTCAGGTCCTCCACCTTCTCGCCAAAATGGCCGCTCTTGCTGTTGTCAGATCTGACCTTTGAAGACCAAGAAGAGGAGCCCCGGGTTTCTCCTCTTCCTGTTGGGCTCTGGTGTTGAAATAACAGCACAAGTTAAGACAAAAAATTAGAGCAACCAATAGCTGTTGATTTACTGGGACTGTGACAGTGAAGGGAGAGCGAGACCCTCATTGGTGCTCCCCCTTGGTTGGTTACTCTGAAGACCCAGAGTGCCCAGCCTGGCTCCTCCAGGGAGCACGCCAAGGGGGCCAGACTCTCCTGTCTGGGGGTAAGAATTCCAGTTCCCAGCACAGGCAGCAGGGGTTTGGGTAAAGCAGAGGCTCAAAGCTCACTCCAAAAGGCTCTCCGAAATCTAGGTAGGGCTCTGCTGCCCCATCCCCACTCAGTCAGTTGCTCTGGCCCCTGATTTAACCCACAGCCAATCTGTGGGGTCCTTAGAATCATGGCACCTGAGGTAGAGGGGGAAAAAAAAAAATCAAGGATCTCTTTCCTTACACAACGAGTGTGAATCTCAACCCACAAAAGAGGTGTGCTAGAAATATCACCTTTGATTTATTTAAATCAAATTAAAATTCAAGTCCAAATCTATTCCACAGGGCTGACGCTAAGTTAGTCTCAATTATTGTATTACCGACTAGCAGAACCTGGAAGGCTTCTGTGGGCCCTGAACGTGAACATCAGTTCATTGGGGTCCCCACAGATGCCGTCTCTGTCTGGACATTCGTGGTCACTTGGAGGTGGTGGGGTGTTGCTGGGCCCCTGGCCAAGTCTGGAAGCCCAGCGCTGGGCCCCACCCACCCATGATCACCAGGACTCGTCTTCTTCTGAGGTTTTGCCCCTAAGGTGCTGCCTGGGTGGGAGGAGAGGGGTGGTTTTCACCGATCTCTAGCTTCCTCCTAGTGTGGAAGTTGTGTGTGTGTGTGGAGGGGGGATAAGGTGGGGGGAGGGAGGCAGAGAACATGGAACCTCTTCTTTCTTTTCAAAAGGTGTCTTTCCTATTTTCTCTCATCGTAAACATCTAGTGAAATCTCTTCAGTGAGTTCAAAGCCACTGACTGCATCGTTCCTGTCCTGCAAATTAGAGAGCAGGGTCTGGTGAAGGGTCTGGTTCTCTGCTAGAAATAGGTTTGGGCTGAGCAGAGGGGGATGTAGGGAGCGGACAACTAGTTAGTGACTGGGCAGATGATTCCACTGTGCTTGTTGGGGGATGGTGGATCTCAGGGTCTGGAAAAGGAAGGTTGGACTTTAAAGACTAGGTACAGGGTAAGTCCTGCTTATCCTACCAGAAAATTCTACCATCTGGAGTTTGCCTGGAAAGGTTCCATTTTAGGGTTTTCAGTTCCTGACCATGAGATTACCAGGGGTGAGGTATATGAGACCTATTTCTATCCCAGATTTCTTCATTACCTGATGGCCCACGGGATAATTGTTGGCCACAGACCTCTGTTTAGTGACCATGAGCCCAAACCCCTGCATCTGCCTGAGACTGGGGACAGGAGGTGGGGAGAAGAGCAAAGCTCCTTGGGAAGGTCACACCCCCTGGACCTGCACCCCAGCCTCCCATGTTCTTCAGAATCCTGAGGATTCTGACGGCAGGAGAAAAGCCATACTAGTTCAGACAGGTCTGGAGAGAAATAGGAGTCTCTCCACCCTTCTGTAGAGAAAGCTCAAAGCGGGCTGGGAAGCAGCTGAGTTGGTCTGTCCCTTTCTCCAGCAGGGTCACAAATTCCCCAGAGTCCATCTAGGTCTTGTAGTCGGGACTCCTGAAGCAGTGCTCTCCATCCAGAAGTCTCACACCACAGCCAAAGGAACAACCCCACCTCCTAACTCATCCCTTGGGCATTTCCTATTAGGCACAAAGATCCATTAGCCCATGATGAATTCTGACCTCCTCTGACCAATGACACACCCTTCCCCTTACATTCCAGGGGGAGAAAATTCCATACATATTCATCAAGATTCTCTCCAGGGGATACAAAAGAGCTGCTTGTGTGGTCAAGCAGTTGGTTTTTTCATTCTTGATTCCTGAGAGCAATCAAGACCCAGGCTTCTGGGCTAGCCTTGGAGATCAGCAACTGGGGTTGGGGGAGAGGGGCCAGCCCTTACTATCTCTGGGTTTTTATTAGAGTTGGTCTCCCCTAGGGGACCTGATCTTTGCTGTGCGGCATCCTGGCACCAGCACCGAAGCAGGTATCTCTGTGGGAAGCCAAGGCCAGAAGAGAAAGGGTCGGCCATGGACACACATTGCTGAAGCCAGAAGCTATTCCACTCACTCCCCTCCCACGGATAAAATCAGTGGTCTAGGGCTCTTACACTGTCAGCTAGCTTTGTCCATCATATTATAATGGAAGGCAGTCTTGCAAATTAATTCTGATTCCAGCATTCTTTCCTTCAGTCAATCTTTCAGCTAATACTTGCTGAGTTTTCGAGCCCAGGATGAATATAAGCACGTTGTTTGTCCTTAAGGCATTTGCAATCTAAAAATATCTTTTCTTTAATATTAGTTTTTTATAGTGCATCAGATAAAATTGTGGAAGGTTTAGAAGAGTTTCTGAAACTAATAAGCGCTCAAAAATGTTGCCTGTTATTCATCTATTGGTTTTAAAATATTTGTTGACTACCTACCAAGTGCGAGACATTGCTGTAGAGCTGACTGAGCAGGGAGAACAAAACAGACAAAGCTTCCCACTGTGTGCACTTTGCTTTCTAGTGGGGGAGAGAGACAGTAAAGACTTAGATGTTGCTCGAGGATTAGCTCAGTGAACCCCTAGCACACTCCTGGGAAAGTGGAGGTGGCACAAGTCTTCAGATCTCATCCATAAAAGACAGTGAGAAGAATGAGAAATTTATATATTTGATAGCAGGTTGCAAGAGGGGAGCTCTTGAGCTGGGCTTTGAGTAATGGGCAGGGTTGG